CATCTTAGATAAGCCTGATTCTTTAATAAAGTCCAAGAAAGGTCGCTTCTATGGCACGACCAAATTTTTTATAAGGAACTCACTTTTTATACGATGCCATTCCCCAATATTTTGATTCATTTCCTTTTTCAAAAAGAAAACAGCGATTTCATTCTTTACTTTCATATGGTATTTTTTCTTAGTATGCCTAGGTTACTGAAGATTTAATTTGGGTAAGTGTTTCAACTCACAAAAATATAAAGTATCTAATCACATGATCAGTTACCAAAATAGAACTACATAAATGTATTTCAAAATTCGTATAATCTAATAATAACGTTTGGATCTAACTATATAAAAATAAGAAGATGTGGTATGATTGCCAATGAGACAACACTCCACCAGAGACCAAATGACGTAGTAGTTAACAACTTAAAGTGGCTCTGCCCTTTAATAGTGCGCAGTTTTAACGCATGTTTCCAACGACGAGCGCGTGCTTTTCGTCTTGGAAACGATCGCTTTGAGGGGTCTTCTCAAAACTGAGAGCATCCTGTCCCGATTACAACAAGCGACGCAAAACTTTCTACAAAAAAAAAGGAAACACGATCAGAAATACGGAGTAGCTTGTTAATTTTTCACATAAAATTGTAAAAGCACAGAATTATAAGCATGGCGTTGTGCGAAAAAAAAAGAAAAATCGAAATATTGACATGTTGTATGACTGCCAATGACGCAACGTTTAGCCGTAAACAATAGAAAATTCGTGTCACCACACGGCCTTCGACAGCGAGTAAAACCCATATAGTATGTTATAAAAAGCATCGGGGGTTTATCTGCACGCTATCAGATTTGCGTATTATTACATTTTGTCACTGTCATTAAATCTTTTTAAATTTGAAATATCTTCATTTTTAAGTAATGGCTAGGAGCTAGATTATTCCGAAGTATGTAAAATATTTTCTCACGACAAAATTTTTGGTAATGGTTAAATATTTTAACAAACACAATTTTGAATATAACAATGTTCAAGCAAAGAATAAATACTTGACAGTCATATCCTACATTTTAACTTTACACATTTATATTATTTATCAAATCATGGACACAAAAAAGCACTTTCAATCAACCACTTCTAACTTGGAAGTTTTTTTTTTATTGTATTTGTTAGCGTTAAGAGGATATCTAACTAATTCTCTCATATCATACTTCGATAATTTCCGGAACTCGAGGAACATGTTTCACTAAATAAAGTATTTGTTTACACAAAAAAAACCGACACTTCAATAATTTGCTGTTTTCCACCTTTGACCATAGATACAAATTGGTTAATTACAACCTGGATCTATTATCCCGACCTTATATATCGCTCTTATTATCCCTAAATGCCAAATGCTTTGACCCAGTCGGGAATTTAGCCTAGGACCCCAGCAGTCTACCGGGCAATTCCAAAGACTAAAAGCTAAATGCTTTATATATAAACAAAATTTATACTACTTATATAAAAATGAGGAGATGTGGAAAGACTGCCAAACTATCCACCAAAGTTCAAATGAAGTGGATATAAGCAATGACTTGGTTCAGGAAAAGTTAGGATCATTGTAATTTCAAAATTCAGCTCAGCACACACGCTAAATTAGTCGGTGGTATAGGCAAACATTAACTTATGTCTTAATTTTTTTAAATGTGTTTTTTGAAAAAAGAAGCAAATAAGGAAAGTTCTTGATTTCAAAAATGAAAGTTGAGTATGTCATTGCGGCAAAAATTTGAATGGCAATTTTCATAATAATGTGTGAACACTGGTTTGACCCACCTGCTGTAAAGTAACGTAATTATCGGCCTTTGGTGAGATAATAAGGAGATGTAAATTTTTTTTAAAACTGGACTCGTAGAGTTAACATTGGTATTGAAATATGACTTACCAAGTCCGTCAGATAAACCCTTGCTTAGACAGGGTGTGCAAACAGCTGGATATATAAATACGCAGCCTCGTGGGGAAAAAATGGGAAATTTTACCCATATCCAACATACATTGTACCTTCATTAACCAGTGGCAGTCCATATATCTCGCCCTTCTTACTTATTATGCAGAACCTACATAAGGTACTTATCATTAATGTTCTCATCCTTAATATTCTTATATTGAATATATATTATATAGATTTTTTTCCACCCATTTGTATTGTCCGTAGCAAATGGGATATGTAAAATAAAAGCAGGGACCCCTCTGTCAACTGCCTTGGACTGCTTAGGGTTTGTATATCCAAGGTGACTTAAGATAAACGGTATTATTCACTTAAAAAAAAGACAAATAAAAAAGGCAAATGTGAAAACTTCCACAATTTGGTTGCAGAAAAAAATATTTTATCTTCTTAAACTAAAATTTATAATATATCATATTACTCTCTTTTTAATCTTTTGCATATTATTTATTAGCCGAACTGTATATTGTGTTCTAACAAGTATTAACCTTATCACAGAAATGCTATATACTAACGTTAACGAGGCCGGGATAAGGTACCGGTACTTTATGTATCTCTCAAAAATGTAAATTTCAAATAAAATTATATACCATTAAAAAAAAAAGTATGCTTAAAACATTTGCCATTGGACATTCAGAAAACTTTTATTCTGTACAATATATACAAAAGAACTTTCAAACATCTCTCCGACCTTTGAAAATGAAAGTTTACTTTGATAAAATTTGCCAAAGACAATCTATTAATTTATTGGTGAAGTTTTATTTGGGGGTCACCTTAGACCTTGAATTCTCTGCAAGACCAAAACAATTTACCAAATTTCAAAAATGACGAGTAGACATATTTGTTGGTTTTGCAAAGATATTGATTTGCCTTTCAACCCTGATAGCTGTTTTGTGAAATCAATTTCACAACACTAAATATGGAAATAAGTTTTCTTAACAAAATATAATGCTTACAAGCAAGATGGTGTGAACTATCATGACTTGTTTCAATACAGACAAGAAGTATCAGGATAGATCACATATTTTTCAAGTTGTTACCACAGATTCCTAGATACATCTACATGTATGGTAGTCACAGTTTTCAACACATTTGGTTGTGTTAACAAGAGTGTACAAGCTGAAATGTCTAACATGCGTTACTAATATCACGATTGATTTTATGTTGATATTCCTAAAGAAAAAGTTTTACTACAAGTATCACAAAAACTTAAAATTATCAATGATCCATGAAAATGAGACTAGGTCAGATAAACCAAACCAGCTTTACAATCATTCCATACACCAAATATTGTTGAACTGTATATATGGTATACAAGAAACAGACCAAACCATGAAAATGAGGTTAAGTTCAGATGAACCCTGTCAGACAGACATGTACACATTAAAATCATTCAATACACCAAATATAGTGGACCTATTGCTTATATTATCTTAAAAGAGGACTTAACATTGACCAATGAACCATGAAAATGAGGTCACGGACAAATGATATCTGCCAGACAGACATGTACACCTTACAATCATTCCATACACCAAATATAGTTTACCTATTGCTTTTAGTATTAGAAAAACAGACCAAAACACAAAAACTTAACATTGACAAATGGCCTACTGCTAACAGTATCTAAGAAACAGCCCTAATCAGGTAACTTAAACCTTGATCACTAATCCATGAAATGAGGTTAGGGTCAGGTGAACCCTGTCTGAAGGACATGTATATAGGCCTTGTAAGAGACCCATATACCTAATATAGGTATCCTATTTTAGCACTCGCTGAACCATGAACATGAGGCTAAGGACAGCAGACATACATGTATGACAGACAATGAGCTCATAATCTCGTACTAATACAAACAGCCATATACTCTCATTTTCTATGTCAACATTAATCAAAAGCAGTGGATAAATGATAATCTACTCAAAGTTTTTTGAACGCATTCTTCGTAACAGTATTATCATTATAGCTGATAGTCTTCTTGCTATGGAAATACACAAAGACTTATAAAATATTTATTGCACTTGGGATGTGTTTGTGATTAACACAGAATTCCCTAATAACAAAACATTTAATCATTTGTAAATTTGATTCGTTCATAGTGATTAAGATTTTATGACATTTGACACTTGCTATATTACTTGCAGAACATATGTGACTGAGGAATCACTCGGGTATGAAATTGAATGATGTTAGCCCACTACAACAGAATTAATTTCTGAAAACTCCTCTAAGGAAAAATTAGAGAAAGAGTTGAACATGTTTGTGTACATGATTCACTGAGCTATTAAAATCGATTAGGAAAAATGGAGAAATAGTGTGAAAATAGTGCTACTAACCATACGCAAAAAATCAAATAAGGGACGTTCGAGTCACAATATACACTGACGCTTTCGGCACTCTCGGATATAAGCACTGACTACCATGCTTGAGGCGCTCTCGGGATATAAGCATGAACTACCATGCTTCAGGTACTCTCGGGAACTATAACTGACTACAAAGACTGTGGTACTCTCTGGAGTTTATAATGCAACTGTTGTATCATGATGAGCAAGACTTTTGCGTACACGTTCGTCATTCGAAAAATACGCTCCTATCTAAGCCGAGAAAGATTTTTATAAACAATAATAACATCATTTAGCTTCGTGAAAGGAATTTTCTTCATGATTTAGTCATATAATTATGGAAAACAATGCCAAAATGGACACCGTGATCTTCATATATGTTCCTGTTATTAAGAGTAAACCTTTTATTTGTATAAATGTTGCTGGCCAGCCTTACTGTTTATGTCAATAGGGTTAATGTTTTCTCTTCAAAAAGCGATCGTTATCCAGCATTTTAAAAACAAAAACAATTGTAGCTCATGAGAACACAGATAATTTTAGTCTTAATAGTTCTATGATCGGCCAGGGCACCATTGGTGTTGTTACAAACGAATCTACCTATAATGTGACGTCACAATGAATTTGCTTCCAATTCCAGAACATATTTTAAAAAGTATTTTAACACCCTGGTTGATTGTTTAATTCCTTTTAAGCGCCCTTTTAACGTGTCCTATATAGTTTTGTACTTATAATATATTTCACATTTGTATATATCATAAAGTTAATGAAACTTTCTGTTTTTCCTTTTCAGCTGACATTGTTACTAGGTTGTTCTTTATTTATATATGTATTGCAAGGTCAGTTGGAGATTTAATGGATGAAGCAAATAGACTATATTCAGACCTTTTAAATGATTATAACAAAATGATACGACCAATATATGATATCAAGGAAAGTACCAAGGTGAATTTGCGCTTCAGTTTGATATCTATAAAAGATTTTGATGAAGTTACTGGGAAATTTTCTGTAATTGGAATGTTAAACATAAATTGGCAGGATAATCGAATGATATGGAACAAAACGGAATATGGAAATATACATTCAATGATTTTTGGACAAAATGATGTCTGGAAACCTAATTTATTTCTTGGAAATGCTTTCGATGATATGTCTGCAATTGGAGAAGATTTTATGACGGTTAGGTACTACAACAATGGCACGGCAATTTGGACACCATTAGATATGACAGTTACGTCGTGTTCTATTGACGTCACACATTTCCCATTTGACCAACAGACATGCGCCACCCATTTTGTACCAGTGGGGACATTACAAGAAGAAATTGTCATGCACTCTGAAATTGACCATGCAATTCTTACACTTTACAGTGAGCACGAAATCTGGCAGCTAAAGAAGACAACTGCAATGGTTTCAAATGTTGATGTGGGATCGATGTTTAGTGTATTATTCACCATTAACAGAAACCCTTTATTTTATCTGGTAAACATCATGTTTCCAACTATATTGCTCACTTTTCTAAATTCGTTCGTATTTTTATTACCGTCGACGTCAGGTGAAAGAATTTCCTTCTCCATAACAGTCTTATTAGCTATAGCTGTATTCATGACAATGATATCAAGTCATCTACCAAAAACATCACGAACCATGTCAAGATTGTGTTATTTTTTAATCAGCAACCTTATATTTAGCTGCATAATTTGTCTTCTCACTATCATACAACTTCGGCTGTTCCATACATGCAACACGCGTTCAGTTCCGACGATTCTCCGGCGATTAGTTATCATGTGTAACTCACAGAAGCATCGGGAATACTTCCCAAACGGTCAAGATAAATTACAAAATGGAGGTGACACCAGTGATAATGAGGCTACACGAACAGACAATTCATTTCAAGTATCCTGGATTGATGTTTCGAAATCTTTAGATATTTTCATGTTGTTGTTGTCGTTGTGTATTCAAATGTTTATGTTAGTTGCTTTGTTTGTCTCAATTTTGCACTGATACTCGTGTTGAATATGATTTTGATTTTTAAGGTATATAAATATTTTTAAACGAAGATTCACTGGTATGTTATATCCTCTCTATTGATGCGCATATTCTACTTTTCTGAAATTACGTTTTTAACACTGTGAGCTTGAAATAATAAAGCAAGAAAAAAAACTGTATCTATTTTGGTTGACAGGGTTTAAAGCTATTTTGTGTACATTCACAGCATTCAAGTGACAAAATAAAAAAATATAAACAAAATTCGGAATATCCAGAATTTTAGTAATTATACACAGAAAGGAAAACAGGAATTACCAAAAATATAGGACAGTAAGTAAAAACACATAATAAAAAAGAAACCTGCAAAATGCGGCTACCAAAAGGAGAGTAACTTATACCAGAGCCATATAAAACATAACATATAACGTATTATATATGTCTCTGCCTATACGAACAAATACATGATTTGGAAATCACGGTCAAAATGTGCTATCTACTCATGCATTTATGTTCTCATTAGATTAGTTGTGAAAATTTAATAGATTGGGGAAAATGTTTATGTCAAAGATAATCAAAAACATTCTTAAATGTGCGAATTGAGAAAACTCTAGATTACTGTGCAGATAATAAAATATGTTCCCAGGTTTGTTTTTATCAGTATACATCAAAGATTTTGGAAATAAAGGAGATGTGGGCTAGATATTAACGAGACAGTAACACAACAACACAAATACCCCAAAACATATTTACAGGCTGTCAAGGTTAGACCAGTTTCTAAACAATATGACAAGCTTTTAATCGCCCCGAGTACAGAAAAGAAATGCATATTTCTAACAAATTATCAAACATCCGCCATCAACAATTTTTTTAAACATCAGTGTAACAATGTCTTTGAATTTATCTCAATAAAAAATGTATGTCAAATGTTTGGTGATTGCATCTATATTTTAAAAAAGACACCTAACAGATAGATAAAAAAGTTTAACTATGGTTTCAAAATAAAATTTAACCAGTATGCTTACCACAGTAAACAAACTATTAATAGTTATACTAACTATACTGTTTAACCTTCATCGCAATAAGACTTACAGATGTTCTTTTCATTGTTCTGGACTCACCACCCCAGTGATGTTAATCTGCTACCACTTGGTCAGTACCGGGAGTGATGGTTGAGCACATAATTTTTTATTTAGGGGTACATTTATTCTTCTTCTGACGAGCCTATATGAAGCAAATTTTATTCACCTCGGTGGTATTATATGTTAACGTCGTACGTGTCCACACACGAAAATTCAAGTTTGACATATGTCGTTGTATGCAGTGTAATGATCCTTGATAAGCAAACGTTAAGGCGAAACTCCATCTAAGTCCCTTGATTAAGATTACATTAATATGTCAAATTTTATAAATAATTAAAAAAGTCAAAATGAAGGATCCCTACAACGGGTTTACACGTATGATTCGTCAAGCATACATACATTTCGTCAAATTGTAAGAAAGCTTTAATTGAATATTAGATCTCAGTGCTTTGTTATTGACATGATTTAATCCTAAATTTTCATCTAAATTTCAAGTTCATGAAATTAAGCTAAGGTTGCAACTTCCTCAGACAAATTTGACCTTGATTTTGCTTTCCAAACTGTTCTAGAAAGGTAAATATGCTAGATATACTTAATGGAGGTGTGATGAGATGATTGAAGCTGTTAATTTTCTCCTTGATAAAATTTATGAACGTTTCTGCAATGAAGTTTTTCGACAGGTTGTAGGTATTCCTATGGGCACTAACTGCGCCCCTATAATAGTAGACTTGTTCTAGTACTGTTATTAATTACAGTTTATGACCACTCAGTAAAGACCTATCTAAATTGCATTTAATTGATAAGCTCAACAACACTTATCGTTATCTTGATGACATATGTTTTCGTTAAATAATCAAGAATTTTCTAAATATACTGCCGAATTTTACCCAAAGGAACCTACTTTAAATAAATCAAATATAAACAGTAATAACTGTTCTTTCCTAGATTTAGATATTTCAGTTTTACTAAGGAAACTTTACACAAAAATTTAGGACAAAAGGGACATTTTTCGTTCCCTACTGTTAATTTTCCTTTTTTGGACGGTGATGTTTCTTTGCCAAAGGCTTTGTCACCATTTTACGGTGTTTATGTATCACAACTCTTTCGCTATTCCCGTGTCTGTAGTGACGTTTTGGATTTCAATGAACTTAATCTATGTATTACTGGTAAATTATTAAGTCAGGCATTTCGATACCACAATTAACTTAAAACCTTGACTAATTTCTTCCATAGATACAAAGATTTGGTTCGGAAGTTTGGCTGTACCTGTAGTGAAACTTATTTCAAACGGGATAGCACACCCTAATTTTTCCCGAAATGTTGTCAACCGAGCTCGGAAATGTAGATACGATACGGGTAAACTTATCGATCCTTTGAATAATCTTATTCTTAAAGGTTACCAATTCAACATTGTAATTAGATCTTTGAATATCGTTTTTATTGGTATAAATGGTGATTTTGTTATAAGTAAATTAAAATCAATCTAAATATTATTTTTATATACTTTTGCACATTCATGGCTCTACAATCTGTCGATACCTGTATTTTGTTATTGTACAAGGCCATGTAGTCTAAATCCATTGGATGTTGGATTAGTACTGATTGATATTTTAGTCTTAGATGCATGATTTTTTTATTAGTTGTTTATTGGCTTTCAACTAGCTGTCAGTAATTGCGAGTACTCTCAGATCTGTACTTAGTGTTTTTTGTTGTGGGGATGCCATACTTAGGTCATCAGATCGATACAAAGCAGAAAAAAACATCTAACAAAATATAGACCGGACGTGACAGGGTATTTATACATGGTATTGGTTGCAAAAATTTGATATTTTTCACTTATATGCAATATTTTTTATTTAATTGGTATATTTCTTCATTTAAATGCAATATTTTTTTATTTAAATTGTATATTTTTTCTTTAAATGCAATAATTTTTATTCAAATGGTATAATTTGTCATTCAAATGCAATATTTATTATTCAATTGGTATATTTGTCGTTTTAACTTAATTTGCAATGTTAAGTTTTTTTTTTTATTTATATGCAATCATTGCATTATGGGAAATTGTTTGACGTCACAAGGTCAAATTTGCAACAACGTTTGTGATTGGTCGATTCTGGATTTTATATATTATCTTGATAAGTAACTCTTGTACGTTTTTTTAAAAAGTTCATCGTATTACTACAACATATAAAATTCATGACTCAATATTTGGAGAATGAAAATACAAAGTTTGTTATTCTTATCAAAACAAACTTATAATAGAAGAAAAAAAGACAAAAAATGAAATGGCAAACAAAAGAGACGAAAAGAAAAACAACGGACCATAAAAAAAAACATCACAGACCACTACATAACTGAGCAACACGAACCTAAACTAAAACTGGCGAAACAAGTGCTCTGGAAGGATAACTGAGCAGATCAAAACGGACGTTGTACGTACGGTTTTGGGATTTTCCCAGGTCAATTAGTGACACCAGTGGTGTATATCTATACATAAGACATAACCAAAATAAAACATTGGAACATTTTAAGTCTCCTACTATATATGTTAACAATTTGAAATAAAACCATTTTCTTATGACTAAGACATTGAATACCACAAAAGATAATACAGAAAACTAAAGCAAAACTAAAACGTCTCCCCTCAAATAAAATCTAGACGTGAACTAAAGTTCTCTGGAAGGTAAGGAATATCCTGTTCCACTAGTGGAACCCGCAATGTTGCTCATGTTATGCAAAATTCAGTAACCAATAGGGAGAAATATTCATGGGAAGAAGAGCCCTTTTCATCCATCAGAAGCATCGCCAATAATGAAAGATTTTCTTAAAAGTGACCAGTGGTATATTTGGACATTCGTGTTACTCAGTCTTTAGTTTTCTGCGTAGTGTTTATTAGACTGTTGCCTTTCTTTCCATCGTTTTTTTTTGTTATGGTAGTATCTGTGTTTTTTTTTCCTTATTATGATTTTTGATTGTCTCGTTTGCAGTTATCTGGAAGGATTTTTTTCTCTATGGGCCCAGGGCCCCCAAAAAATAAATTCAATGGGCCATTTTTAGAATTAATGGGCCATGTTGTCAAATGAGTGGGCCATTCGTTTACAATAAAATAAAAATAAAAAAAGTATATATTTCACTGTACTTACAAGTATGATTCTAATTAATATCATGGATATTGTTCCTGTGATTTTGTAATTTCAATTTCAATGAATATACAATAACTTCTTCCAAACCGGGCAATATTTACGATAACCTTTATTTACAATGTTAAAACTGGTACTGTTCCCTTGTTCATGTTCATGTTTTTTTTTACATTAAATTTGGGTCTTCGTCGATACCATACTTATTCCCGACGTTCCGTATTAGAGGACGTTTCTGGCATTTCCTCTGCACTTGTATTATTATTACTTCATCACGATGACAAGAATAACAGTAGAGAGCAATGTTAATTGATAAGACACAACAACAATTCGCTGAAGGCATGTTTACAAAATGTCAAAACGAGCCAAAGACCAAAAAAATTGGCAAGGACATTAAGCCTCTTTTATGGAGACAAATACTATGCTATTCATAAAAAGGCTTTTGGATTTTTCAATCGAAATAATAGCAAGCTTACTTAAACGATTATAATTAGAGAAGAATTCTCGCCTGTACTAGCCAATTTTCACAAATTTAAAGTTGTTTATAAAAAGTTATATCATGAATGATGGTTAATTACGTTTTTTGGGTAATCAGTCATACCGCATGTTGCTATTATTACCATACATAGGAAAACACCCAAGACGTCCCAAAAATATATAGGTGCTCCTATCATTGGAGTAAACACTACACAGTTGTGTACTCAAACATGGCGGCACGAAATACGATCGGAAATCCATTTGTCGATATCTAAACGTTTCAAAACGAAGTGAAAAATATCATGCGCCACGCGGGTGCTTACATTTGTCACTCTATGCGCCATTTCTGGTCGATAAGCGCACACGTCCTTCCCGATCACTGCGTTTGTATCTATTCAAAACGTCACTACAGACATGGGCATATCAAACGAGTTGGGAATATACCGTATAAAGGGATCACGGAACATCACCGTCTAAAAGGGGACATTAACGATACGGAACGAAAATCGTATCAATGTGTAATCAATATTGGTAAAGTGTTTTCCGTGTGATACTACAATAGACAAATCTTAAAAAAGAACTATTCGGACACTCATTAAATTTATAAAGTGTTGTTTTTACTTTTTATTGCTGTTTATATTAGATTTCTTTAAGGTGATCAGTTGCCTTTGGCAAATTTTCCCGGTATGCTTACAGAATTAAAAATTGGTTAGGAAATGCTAGACTGTACACAAACAGATTGATTGATTGATACCGCCTCGGCAAACAGCTAAGAATGAAGCATTATGGTGTGTTATATTGCTAGTTTTTTCTTTAAAGAAAAGGAATATACATAGTGATTCATATGTCCAAATTTAAATTCAGAATCAAGTCCCCTTCTCTTTCATTTGTTTTTCTTTCTCTTTTTTGTAAAGCAACTAATGATTTTTATATTGACCTAGTGCCATCCTAATTCTTTTTAAATGAATCCTAAACAAAAATTCGGGTTCTTTTATGCTTTAACACAATTTTTCATGTTCATGCTTTTATTTGCAAATTTCTAAAGAACTACAAAAAAGAGTGCAGATACAAACGAGACAATCAAAAATCATAAGAAGGAAAAAAAACCCAGACACTACCATAACAAACAAAAAAAACGATGGAAAGACAGGCAACAGTCTAATAAACACTACGCAGAAAACTAAAGACTGAGGAACACGAATGTCCAAATCTACCACTGGTCACTATTAAGAAAATCTTTCATTATTGGCGATTGCTTCTGATGGATGAAAAGGGCTCTTCTTCCCATGAATATTTCTCCCTGTTGGTTACTGAATTTTGCATAACATGAGCAACATTGCGGGTTCCACTAGTGGAACAGGATATTACTAACCTTCCAGAGAACCTTAGTTCACGCCTAGATTTTATTTGAGGGGAGACGTTTTAGTTTTGCTTTAGTTTTCTGTATTATCTGTTGTGGTATTCAATGTCTTTGTCATAAGAAATGGTTTTATTTCAAATTGTTAAGAATAGAATAGGAGACTTAACATGTTCCGATGTTTTATTTCGGTTATGTCTTATGTATAGATATAGCGAGGAAGATTTACCAATCTGCAAGTTTATGCTTCATTATAACGGGTTATGACTCTACAACGGATTTAAACTGAAGTTACACCACTGGTGTCACTAATTGACTTGGGAAAATTCCAAAACCGTACGTACAACGTCCGTTTTGATCTGCTCAGTTATCCTTCCAGAGCACATGTTTCGCCAGTTTTAGTTTAGGTTCGTGTTGCTCAGTTATGTAGTGTTCTGTGATGTTTTTTGTGGTCTGTTGTTTTTCTTTTTGTCTCTTTTGTTTGCAATGACATTTTTTTTGTCTGTCTTTTTTTGTCTCTTTTTGTCTTCTATTATAAGTTTGTTTTGATTAGAATAACAACTTTTGTATTTTCATTCTCCAATATTGAGTCATGAATTTTATATGTTGTAGTAATACGATGAACTTAAAAAAAAACGTACAAGAGTTACTTATCAAGATAACATATAAAATCTAGAATCGACCAATCACAAACGTTCATCAGTTGCAAATTTGACCTTGTGACGTCAAACAATTTCTCATAATGCAATTATTGCATATAAATAAAAAACTACTAAACATTGCAAATGCCGACCGTCCGAGGGCTGTATAGCCAGTCAAGGTCGTTATAACTCCCATCATCATCATTGCAAATTAAAGTTAAAACGACAAATATACCAATTGAATAAAAAATATTGCATTAAAATGACAAGTTATACCAATTGAATAAAAAATATTGCATTTGAATGACAAATCATACCATTTGAATAAAAAATATTGCATTTAAATGAAAAAATATACCATTTAAATAAAAAAAATATTGCATTTAAATGAAGAAATATACCAATTAAATAAAAAAAATATTGCATTTAAATGAAGAAATATACCAATTAAATAAAAAATATTGCATTTAAATGAAAAAATATACCAATATTGCATTTAAATGGATAATATCAAATTTTTGCAACCAATACCATGCCATAGTTAAGCCTGTATTACTGTGGTTGTCGTTTGTTGCAGTGTATCATATTTGTTTTTCGTTCATTGTTTTGTACATAAATCAGGCCGTTCTTTTTTTTTCGTTTGAATTCTTTTACATTTGTCATTTCGGGGCCTTTTATAGCTAACTATGCGGTATGGGTTTGGCTCATTGTTGAAGGCCGTACGGTGACCTATAGTTGCTAACTTCTATGTCATTTGGTCTCTGGTGGAGAACTGTCTCGTTGGCAATCAAACCATATCTTCTTATTTTTTATAATCACGAGAATACGAGATGAAGGTTGTTCGGAAACAATTTAGAGATAACTGTATTGTATTTGAAGCTTTGCGGACGTCCATCGGTAGTTTTACTGTCGCAAATTTAGTTTACCTGGCGACGCGTAGCGGAGACAGGTAAACGGGTATTTGCGACAGTAAAACTACCGATGGACGTCCGCAAAGCTTCAAATACAATACAGTTATCTCTATTCTAATGCAAAATAAACAAATCATTCAATTTTAGTCATTATTTCTTCCTTAGTTACAGACAGGGAGATTGAGAATTTTACGCTTGTCGTCATCCAATCAGAGCCATTGATACAAACTAATTGCATTAGAATTGGTCATATCATTTACTCATCCCACTGTATCATGAAAGTAAAAAAACTCGAAACAACACTTCTCGTCGTTTAATGTTAAGGTTTGACCGTTCTTGGTGAAGGTGAATCCGGGAAGGCGTTTCGGACGGACGAGGTTTATACAATAATATTATTTATTTACTAGAATTAGAAGAATGCTGTGCTCATAACAGTTCGTAAAAGAGAAGTTTAGACTAACTATTTACGTTGAAAGTATAAATTTATATATTCTTATTGTTTGTATTCAGTTTTGGATACTCTTTTCATTTATTCATATTTTAACTTCTTAGGTTCTTGAAACTTGAGAAACCCAATAACTGGTATCTATGATAATCAAAATAGAAGTAAGTTTTATTTCATAGAACATAATTTCCTAGGAATTTAATTTGAGTTAACTGGGAGATAAAAATAAATACAAAACAACTGAACTTAACATAATTTTGCTATTATACATACTTATATTAAAGCGTAGACATATTTTTTTATAATGAGAAAAAAATACAAAGGAATCATCCTTTCTATATTGTATGTCGAAATAGAGGCTCTTATTGTTTTGACTTTTGACAATGTGAACTTTTAAAGTCGGTGTAGCATAGGTGCAATTGAACATTTTAACCTATATCAGATATGTCTTGAATTATCAGTAGATTTTCTTCCCTGTCTATTGTAAAGTTGACCCTATCTAGAAGACTGAGGAACATGTGGTCTTTAAATGTGCTTGTGTGTTTGGTCTTTTCAGCAAGAATATCAGTACTTCTAGCAGAAAATAGTAGTAAGTACAAAATAATTTAACAACTCCAATTTTTCCAAACCTTGAACAAACTTATTTAGTTTAGCAAGGTTCGAATTGAACCTGTATCTTTCCACTTTTAGAGTAAATTGCTTCTATAACATTTTGTTTCCTTTACAACATAGTAATATCTAAAAAATTAAAAACAAAATAGAAGATGATAATAAACATATATTCCTTTGTTTTGTGTGTGTTTTTTGCTGTGCATGTACTGATTTTTAAACGTATATTCCTTTGCTTTTTTTTTTTTTTTTGCTGTGCATGTCTTGGATGAATACCCCATATCCTTTGTTTTTCTATTATATCTTATATTTCAGCATCACATGTATGCTACGATCACATTGGATGTTTTAGTAATTCTGCACCATTCCTTAACGCTTTTGGTTACCTACCGCTATCTCCGGACCATATCAATACTTCATTTCATCTATACACACAAGCGAACCCTAGCAAAAGTCAACTTTTGAACCCTAACGGTGGTGGTGGGTCATTAAGGTCAACGCACTTTGGACTTTCACACAAGACCGTTTTCATAATTCATGGTTTTCATGGTCTTGAAAATAACCCTTGGATTCCACTAATGAAAGACCCACTGCTGAAAGTAAGAGAATTAACACAATATTTAATATATGCGACAAAATGCAATTTGCAAATATAAACAAATACTAAGATTTTGTCGTATATGGTTGCTTGCTTATTATTAATTTTCCCAAACAGTTAAAATATCGAGAAATTTCTCAGTGTCTCAAAATTTCAAATACCGAGAAGGTGTAAGATAAAAAAAAAGTTTCATTTTGAAAAACAGACTCTAAAATATTTATTTTCAAATCTAATACATTTAAAAGAAAACAAATAAACAAATTTACATTAAGGAAAAGTAAAAAAAAATCTATTTATAGATTTTAAATTTACACGTTTTTGTAAAGTATCATGCATTGAAGACATCGATGCGTTTGCCAAATATAAACATGTATGTATTTTCTCTCCTGCACGCAGTTACTGCGGCTGAGCTGTATTTTGAAATAAACTTTAACCAAGATGAATCCATTTGCATTTGGGAGACAATAAATACGTTTTCTTTTAATTAATTTTGTATTTGGATAATGATATCCGCCCTATACTTTGTATATCCTTTATATATTTTGGATAAAGACTAAAAGTTGCCTCAAATAAAAATTGCACTTCGAAACTATCTTGTGGCAGTCTATATGTTGGTCTTCTGTTTAGACATAATTCATATTGTTAGAACATCAACGTACAAACAAGAAGCTTCAAAGACTTAAAATTGACATCAGCAGTTGTTGCTTGTTTCTGAATCCTTTTGTGAATGTAAATATATATTGTAATTGTATATTTCATAATGAAATCTATACTATTAAACGAGAAGACCTCATTTTGTGTGTCGCTTCTCTTCCTTCCCCAACAAATTAATCATCATGCCTCTGTGTCCTATAGGTACCATGCATAGTCGCATTTGTCATCCATTCTTATGATTATTCAGTTTGGGTTATTTTGGGAGAAAAACGAAGAAAAAGGCGCCCGGATATTGTTTCCGTCATCAGACCGACTTTTAAGTCATACCCAAGACTTCCGACTTTAAACTTTAAAAGAGGGGTAAAGTGGTTTTTTTTCGTGCAACGTGTTTTGCCACTTTTTATTTCACGTGCAGCCGTGAAAAAGGTTCGTTATTCACTGTGTTTCTTGAAATCGATAAAAAGATCAACGTGCAAGAAATTTTTAATTGTTCGCACATCGTGAAATGGTAATTTTATTTCGCGTTTTTTCGTGCAGATACCTCCCTTTACTCCCCACTTTAAACATAGTTTTCATACTCGGGGACAGGACAATTATTTTCGCGTTATTCTGCATGTATACTATGATTATCTATACTATTAAATGAGAAGACCTCATTTTGTGTGTCGCTTCTCATCTTTCAACAATAAATTAATCATTATGCCTCTGTGTCCTATAGGTACCGTGCATAGTCGCATTTGTCATCCTCACTTATGGTTATTCAGTCTGGGTTATTTTGGGAGAAAAACAAAAATAAAGGCGCCCGAATATTGTTTCCGTCATTGGACGGACTTTTAAGTCATGGACTAGACTTCCGTTTAGGACTGTTTTTAAAATTAAAAGTACTTGGGGACAGGACAATTATTTTTGCGTTTTTCTGTATACCATGATCATACATATACTTTATTTATATTATATGTAGATCTATGTTCATACAGAAACGCGAAAATCATGGAATTTAACAGAGAGCAAAAAAAAATAAATAACGGACTTTGGAAAAAAGGGAGAGGGCTTAAAATAGTTGTCCTATGTCCAAGTGCCTATGACTCAGTTTGATACCTTTTCTGAAATTCTCCAGACATAAAATCTTTTACAAAAATTCATCCTACAACAGTTTACATACTTTCAACCAAGCTCTAAATACCCGCGATTTTGCGGGTGTGTTCTAGTATTGTTTACACTAAAGACTTTAAAAAATGGTGTTAAATCAATTTAAGGGTTTCTACCCTTTACTTGCCAGAATACATGACTTTCTTACTTGGAATGTATAAATCCAGAAAAAAACCTTATACGATAAAAGTGTTCTAAGTAGAAGTAAATAATTATTTATTGGTAAAGTGTCAAGTAAATTGAACAAATTTAAATTACTTTTTTGTTCTTAATTGCGAAAAGACATGATGTAAAATGAATATTAGTTAGCCTGCAAATGTAATAGTTTTGCTTCAATACTTATAATTTCGTTCTAACTGTCCATTTTTTCGTGGAATAATTATGTTTACTTTTAGTTTGATGTAAATGTAATTGTTGTGATATGGACGAGAGGAGCCTATGACAATTACATCCAAGCTGTAGCAAATACCCGGGTTGTCGGTGCTGTTACAGCTAACTTGGTCAAACTGTTACATGATGCTGGAGGGGTCAGTTATGATGATGTGCACATAGTCGGACATAGTCTTGGTGCTCATGTTGCTGGTTACGTGGGTCAAAGAGTCCCTATAGGGAGAATTACTGGTAAGTTAACATTATCTTTTCTTTGCTTTAAAACAAAAGTTTTGACCATTAATACAGCGAATGAAACCTTAATTAACAACATAATTCATTTCTAAGCACACTATCCTATGGAATGAATACAGTTATAATAATAAGGCAATAGATAAAAATAAAACCTGACAAATTTCGTGCGTCCAAAGAACTTTTCCGGATTTACCTTCACCAGGAACGTTCAAACCGAATCATTAAAAAGCTAGGAATGTATACAGCCGTAGTAACATTACAAACTTTATAACCAAAAGAGACATAAAAAGAATGGCATTATTTATCCAAGGTCATTTCTGTCTGAGGGGGGTTGAACCTTATGTGACCTTCTTATCTATACTACTAAAATAACGAGGTCCAATTTGTTAGCGGCATGACGTAAAAACGAAGAATCAAAGAATTCAATTTTATATATGACTAATATTATATAGGACAATGGTGTTGATTAAAAATTACACCATTCCAGGCCCTTTTTTTCCCACATAATTAATATTACCAACAACCAACAAGTTTGAGCTTTCTAAAAAGCTGTGGACTGCTTCGTTCTATCCTAATTTAAGGTAACATGTGTGCTTATGGTTGTTGATTTAGTATTGGAAATGTGGTATTTTTAGATATTGATTGATATAAAATGGATTTACTTTAAGAGTGTGCGTTATACACCCATGCTTTTAAAATTTTGTTCACTTTACTTGTTGAAAATTAAAACATTTACACATAGACACGACTCTGGAGGTGCGCCTAGATTGGCAGAAGTTATAAACTACAGATAATGCATTTTTGAAAGCATTGTATAGGAACATTGTTTAGCAAAACAAATCGTGCATATTGCAGATTAACAAAGCAAATAAACATGTATTAATAATTGATATTTCAATATTGAATTTCAGTGTGCAATATATGCATAATAAAACGAACATGAATTAATGACAGATGATCGGAACTGAAATACACATAGTTAATTTTCCGGCATTTGATGTCTTATCCTGAGACGAGAAAAGTCTGTAATTCTTTATCTCATTTAATTTTAAGCCAATAACTGTTGCTGTATCTCAGCTGCATCATAAAGCAACCAATCAGAATCTATATGTGATAAGTAATTATTTCAAGATGGCGTGTATGTCCACTGAAACTAATAGCTCCGCACCGTAATTGCGAAGCAATAATCAACAAGTTCCGGGTCGAATCCGATACCGATACCAAGTATATGTCTTCTTTTTTTCTCAGTAAATTCCTCCGTTATCGGAACACCCGTTTCTCACGGTATTTTAAGCTCTTAATTTTAATACTACTAATTTAAAAATCAAAAATTAAGAATTAAAATACTAAAACAAAAAAAAAAAAAAAAAGCGTATATACATTCCTTCATAAAATATATGTTCTTAAAATTTACAGAAATGTAAAAACCGTTACGGTACTTGAATACTATTTACACCAATTAGTGCAAGTGAATTATTTACATGCATATATATAATAGAATTTCGGTTTAATCCCTGACATATGTCACATGTAGTTTCCGGTTGTAGTAAGAAAACCAGGACGGAATCAAACAGAAAGATTTTGAAAGCAGAGAAAACTGTGCACCTTATAATCAGCATGACTTTATCAGATGACAAACGAATACTAAAAATCCAGGCTATAAATAAGGCGTAGGTACTTCAAATGAGTCACGGATCCGCTATGTCGCGGGTGTGTTCTAGTATTCTTGATAATTTCTTAATTTATCAGCGGATAGTTTTAGAAACTTATGTTATAAATCATGTCAGTATCGAAGAAATGAAGACTGAGCTGATGACAACCTCGGGTACTAGCAGTCCACTAGCAGCAGTGAAACCGATAAAAAAATTGTCATTTGATAACTTTTGAAATGAAGCGTATATTTCAAGCATTTGTTAGCATTTAACATATCCGTATGAAAAAAATAGAGATGTGTGGTACAAGGCAATATGGTGGCATCAAACGGAACAAAAAGATAGAACACACATATAGAACACGTTTAAAGGTATTCAATAATAGATATATAAAATGAAAAAAAGACTTGTTTTCTTTAATCTCTCAATTAAATCAAATCAATCTTCAGGAATGTTTGCAAGATTGATACTTTAGGGCCGATTGACAATCTTACAGATGATTTTACAGCCAACGGAAAACTGAGTGTTGCATAAACTCATATGTAATGAACAATTATCATATGAACAAACAAAATTATTTTCAGTTACCTGTGTATAAAATGACGCAGGTTTCTTCAAAAGTGATGATTTTCTAAAAATTGTTTGACATTTCACAGTGATATCATACTTTAACTTTGTTTAAACCTGTTTATTTAATTTTGACTTTAATTATTTATCCCTTGTAATTTTTTTATTAACTGTGTATTTGCATTCAGGTGTCACAGGTCAAATTTATTCGTTCATTGTGTGTTAATTTACGTTTTTTGATTGAGTTAAGCCTTCCAATTGATATTTTATAGTGTGTTTTTCTATGTTGTGATGTTATACTATTGTTTCAGAAAAGGGAGAAGGTTTGGTACCATTAAAACGTTTAATCCCGCCGCAAATGTTTGCACCTGTCCTAAGTCAGGAATCTGATTACAGTAGTTGTCGTTTGTTTTTGTAGTTCATACGTGTTTCTCGTTTCTCGTTTTTATACATATTAGACCGTTTGTTTTTCCGTTTGAATGGTTTTACACTAGTAATTTTTTGGGGCCCTTTATAGCTTGCTGTTCGGTGTGAGCCAATGCTCCGTGTTGAAGGCCGTACCTTGACCTATAATGGTTTACTTTTATAAATTGTAACTTGGATGGAGAGTTGTCTCATTGGCACTCATACCACATCTTCCTATATCTAAAAGCTAAATGTTTTGAAGAATTTGTCATGCTGTTTTTCCTCTTTCCATTTGTTTTACTTTGTCTCTTCTGTAGTTGAATAAACGGTATGTTTTTATGACCCACCTACGATAGTAGTTGGGGCATTATGTTTTCTGATCTGTGCTTCTGTTCGTTCGTCCGTCCGTTCGTCCGTCCGTCCGTTCGTCCGTCCGTCCGTCTGTCGCGATACAGGTTAAAGTTTTTGGTCAAGGTAGTTTTTGATGAAGTTGAAGTCCAATCAACTTGAAACTAAGTACACATGTTCCCTATGATATGATCTTTCTAATTTTAATGCCAGATTCGGATTTTGACCCCCAATTTCACGGTCCACTGAACATAGAAAATGACAGTGCGAGTGTGGCATCCGTGTACTATGGACACATTCTTGTTTTTTCTATTATTGCAGGGAATATGGTGACCTCTAGTTGTTAGTATCTTTGTTCTTTAATGGACAATTTTTTCATTGACAATCATACAACATCTCCTTATTTTCATATTGCTATTACGATTTTATATCTATTGAGTTATGTGTTGGATATTTTAAATAGGTCTAGATCCGGCTGGTCCAGAATCTAATACCGCCGATCAAAGAGTAAGATTGGACCCCTCAGATGCTACATTTGTTGATATTATTCATACTGATGGTGGTAAGTGTTATCTATTATTGTTTTGTAGAGTACAGATCTTAGGACCGTAATAAGCGTATACAATAACATATCAAATGCTGCATATTTTCAATCTTTCAGAATTCATAAAAAGACCTCGCATTATTCAGTTATGTTCAAATATGCAATGAATCTTGGAATTGTACTATAACATTACAAAAAAAAATAGTCGACAGATAGAGTTCGAGATATCGAGATATGAGAATAAGAACAGAAAAACAAGTTACAAAGACATATATCTTGAAAGATAATCCAAATCACATACCACAACTACAAAACAGAAAATATCGAATTCATCTAAGGGAGCAACCATTTAACTTCAAAGTGGGGGGGGGGGGGGGGGGGGGGGGGGGGGTTATGTTTTTTTTTCGGAGTCAATTTTTCTGCGAACAATTTTTTTTTAGTTTTTCGACGCTATCAATCAAATTATTTTTTTTTCAAAATTTAACACTATAAGTTAATTGGAAAATCTGGATTCAGAATATTTGTTTTGTCATCTGCTTGACAAGAATATTTTTTTTCATCAAATTGTGGATCAGAAAATTTTTTTTTAGAAAAAAAACCATATATCGAATATCAATGTTTGGACTCAACCAAGAAAACAGATCTGCTCCAGACAGACTTTGCTTCAGGCGAAACAGTAAGAACAGGTCTGCTTCAGGTCTACCCTAGTCAAATATCTGGTTTTGATGAGCCCCGAAGACGGATCTCTGATCTGCCACATTAATTTTCCTAATACTCAAAGTGGCAGGCGTTATTTTGTATTTACATACATCTCTCCAACTAAACGGAGTCTCAGAAAGCAAACCTGTGAAGTATATGTGGCCGTTCGTTTTCTCGTTTGAATTATTTCACATGTTGTCTTGTCGGGGCCTTTTATAGCTGAGTACACGTGTTGAAGGCCATACGGTGACATATAGTTACCTACATCCACGTCATTTGAACTCTTGTGGATAGTTCTCTCATTGAAAATCATACCACATTTCTTTATTTTTATATTAAACAAAGGCTTTGTGAAAAAAAAATCATAATTCCGTAATCAAAAATCATAATCCCGTAGTCATAAATCCATCAGAAAAAACTGCAGTTATACGAGTTTATTCACACAAAAGAAAATTGAGTACAGGGAGCGTATTCACAAAGCATCCGTAAACTAACAGACTCGTTAACGAAAGTAAGCTTCCAAAAGTTGTGTTTTTCATCCTTTGCGAGTGCTTGCTTGTTGGTGTTTTATTTTGTCTGAGTTTAAAAAGAATATTCGGAATATCTTGAAAAAATTTAGAAATTATTTCAATTTTCTGTTAACAAAGCCCGATGTATGTCCCAAATATAAAAATACGAGGATGTAGAATGCTTGCCAATAAGACAACTCTCCACTGGAGACAGAATAATGTAGCTTAGTCGTTATTTAGCTTAAAACAAAACCATTCTACACTGCTTTATAGTTATATGGATGAAATTATTGAACTATTATTTATATATCAAATTAAAGCGACACACTGTAAGGCATTTTTAGTTTATCATAGAAAGGTTTTAATTTTTGTGTGTGATTTTCTACTGGGCTGGTCAGTAGGTTTTGAAAATTTAAAAAGAAGCAAAACCGATAAAAGACTGACATATTATAAGATGATTTAAAGCAAACAATAATTCTAATTGAAGTTATCTTTCTGCATAGGTTAGAATTGTGTCCATTTGTTAATCCTGTAAAAGTAAATATACAAAACCAAGTTTAAAATATCACTATACTTAAAGAAAAATAATATATTTGCAATGTTCGTTTGTCATGCGACATTTTCAACAATTCATTTCAGCGCTTGGATTTCGACATACAATGGGACATGTCGATTTTTATCCAAATGGTGGCAAAGTTCAGCCGGGTTGCTTATTTGATAGTAAGTATAGCTGAAGTTTTTTGTCCGTATTATATTTGAAAATGTAACTTAATTGCAGAAACTCTTATTGGTAAATGTTCAGATATAATTAACACATTATCTGAAGCAATAAAAAATTATATTAATGATAAAAACAGAACATTATGATGAAGTACAAATATTCATAGAAAAACAAAACACTGACGAAAATTACTTTACTCCAAGACTTATCATGGTTATCTTCAATGGAACATTAAAATCAAACGTACATATTTTGATGATCTTGCTTCATTAGACATGCATTGCATACATGCAAGCAAACGAAGTATAAATACGCGAAGATCTAATTTTACCAAAAAAGTATGACAAACCTTTCACGACCAGTTAACATTTGATAATTACAATCTGCTTCAAGTGTGGTAGCTGCTCTGTCTTCAAAGATTCTGTCATGCTAGAGGAAATATCAATATAAAAGTAGTATCAATAACCCTTACATATCTCTCGTGCCATTACAGAATCTAATGCATTCTGGATTTTTTTCTTCACAAACGTACTCTAAAACACTGTGATTGGCTAAAAACGTTCCAAACAATTAAAATTCAACCAATAACCTGTCATCGTTTTTCATTTACGGGTGAGAACAATGAAATTACCCATGGTCCTTCTACAACGGCTGATTAAGTCATGGGAAAATTATGGTTGTTTCGCGAAACTGAACAATTCTTTTCTTTTCTTTTTCATATTTTGCTAGATTTGTATCGGTAAATTCACTGTTAATATACTATTTTAATTGCAGAGATTGCACCATTTTATAGCTGTGGTCATATGAGGTCGGTTTACTACTTTATAGAATCAATAAATACGAATTGCCATTTTTCATCTCATCCATGTGATAGTGAAGATGATTACAAGAACTTACTCTGTACCGGATGTGGGATTGGTTGTCAAGAGATGGGATACCATATTTCACGCAATGCTCGTGGAACATTTTATTTGAAAACTAGTCCTAATTCACTGTGTCTAAACTACCCCGGCAAAAAATGTTTGGACTCGATAGTATCTAATGTCCGGTACGGTGACGGACAATCAACAGACAGAGAAAAGGTAGAATTTCTGTTTATTTATTTGTTTTTTAATGACACTGAAGAATAAACATACACATATAACTATTTTCGATTGTGTGATGTAATATTTTCTACAAACGTTCTAGATTAATGGAGAAATAAGCAAAAAGGCACATGAAAATGGTGAATTGAGTGAACCTTGCTACGAATTTGTTTAATTTCTTTTTAAATTTAGCACATTGTACGGAAAATAAAGTACTGAAAGAAAGATATTAACACAGAGATTGCCTGGCTAGTCACTATGAGCACCTCAATATTTGCATTTCTGTGCATGGAACGAAAGAAATGGGTCATGTCAAAATGGAAGGACCCTGTTTCGTCAGTGTTGTTTATTACAAAAGGACCCTGTTTTGTCTCAGTATAGGACCCGGTTTTGTTTTGTTTTGAAACCACAAATTTATGAAAAGCTACGTTAGCACGGATCTGGACATTGCCCATCGGAAGAAATTAAATATTTGAGTCAAAAAGATGTTATAAAGATGTTATTGCAATACAAACGTGTTAAAATATATTTCAAACGGGAACTTTTCGAAATAGGGAGTAGGCATTTTTGAATGCTATACGTATACCTCATTGATCTTATCTTCGACCTAAGTTTAAATGGAAATAAATACGTTATATCATGTACTTACATTAATTCCTTATGATAGAAAAAAGAAGATGTGGTGTGATTACCAATGAGACAGCTCGTCACAAGAGATCAAATGACACAGAAATTGACAACTATAGGTCGCCGTACGGCCTTCAACAATGAACAAAGCTCATACAACATAGTCAGCTATAAAAGGCCCCGAAATGACAAGTGTAAAATAATTCAAACGAGGAAACTAACGGCCTAATTTATGTACAAAAAAAAATGAACGAAAAACAAATATGTAACACAGCAACAAACGACAACCACTCAAATACAGGCTCCTGGCTTGGGACAGGTAAATGTATACAGAATGTGGCGGGGTTAAACATCTTAGCGGGATCCAAACCCTCCCCTAACCTAGGAAATTGGTGTAACAGTACAACATAAGAACGAAATATAAAAATCAGTTGAAAAAGGCTTAAGTCATCAGATGGATACAAATAGAAATACATCTCAAAAATGTTTATTTGTTTTCTATACTACTGAATGATGTAAGAATAAGAAGATGTGGAATGATTGTGTTACCATATCAATTTATCAAAAGAGTAAGGATAGTATGCTTTACTACACTATACGCTATGTTTAAAATATTTTTACTCATTCGTTCATCCATTGACGGACAGTGAGAGAAAAAGCTCCGTTTTGAAGGCCGTACTTTGACCTATAATGGTTTACTTTTACAAATTGTGACTTGAATGGAGAGTTGTCTCATTGGCACTCATACCACATCTTCTTATATCTATTAGAACTTTTTTGATATCTCAATCAAAATGGTTGCCTTTCGAACGTGTATTTTATGTCCGCTTCGAAATACACAAGTTCTAAACTTCCCCATTAGAAACAAAATAATTCTATCATGCCATGCTCTACGCTCATTTTAACATAGGTAGGCATTATATTTGTCAATATTTTATACCTGGCAACTCTTGGTTTAAAAATTTTAACAAATATAATGCCTTCCTATGTTAAAATGAGCATTGAGCATGGCATGAAAGAATTATTTCTTTTTATAAATAAAAGTTGGTTTGCAACATTATAACGTCCAATATCTTCTTATTCGTCTTCGTAGGACAACCTAATTGGCAATTTAGCCCGTGAAAAATGACAATGAGACAGCTTTCCATCAGAGACCAAATGACGTAAAAGTTAACAAATATAGAACACCGTATGGCATCCAACAATGAGAAACGTCCATACGGCATAGCAAGCTAAAAATGGCCCCGAAATGAAAACTGTAAAAAAAACTAATGTGGAAACTAACGACCTAGATTTATGTACAAAATAAAAAACGAAAAACAAATACATGTATGATATATGGCAACAAAAGACAACAACCGATTTACAGGCTTAACTCATTTGATTACAGAGCCCCTATAGTAAATATGCGATTGGCGGCTGTCTCTGTTTTTTCGTCTTTTATGAAATTTTATTATGGTATACGATATAGTTACATTATATCAGTGGCGGATCCAGGGGAGTAGAGGGAGTACGCCGACCCCCCCCCTTTTTGGTGGCTAGAAATAATTTTTTTATCATGTTTTTTACGATTTATATATGATTTTTTATTTAGCATAAAATCGTTAAAAAAAGTTCCCCTTGCTACGCTCGGCTGTATAAAATCCGTTTATGAATACGCCCCTTTCAAAAATCATGGCCTCGGTCCGCCCTTGCATATTAACAATTTTAAACTTGACCAAATTGCTTAAATTGTAGAACATTTGTCAATGTACGATAATCATTATACAATGAAGAGATAAAGCTATATATAATAGTTGTACTATATAGGGCAGTTGTTAACAACTTGATACTAGTGCATTAAGAATTTGTTAATGTTAAAAAAAAAAGAAAAAAAAAAGAAAAAAAAAAAGAGATAAAACATCGTTTATTTATAAAAATTACTAATTAAATAATCATTATTGCAATTTCCGGATGGCCTAAGACTTTTATACTAATTTATACTTAGTATTATTGTAACAAGAAGGGGTAAACAGATTTTAACGCACTATTACTGTGATCCTTTGCGCCGCATGGAAATTCCTTTTCTTTGGCGATTCTGCATGCACATACATTTGTCTTATTATGTTGCTTTATAATGAACGTTTAGTTTCAGAATATTTATTTTCAAACGATTATACTGTCTTCCCTTTAAGTAGAGCGGAACACTAAGATAACCATCTTGTTGTCCCAGAAAATCACATATCAAATGTGCGTCCTTAAATTTTCAAGGCCGTACACTAATTAAGTTTGAACACTTAAATTTATATATAGATGATATAAAAAAATCTAATTCCGTTTCAAAACCTTCATTTCTTTTTAATTTTTCCTTTTTTTATACAAAACAAAGTTGAAATTTGCTTTGTTCTAATATAGCAGGAATTCAAGTGTTTACGGATTCAAAAAGGTTATAAGTTATCCTCTGAAAGAAAATGTTTTTCAACGATCCCTCAATCTGCTGTTGAACGCCATATTTTAATTTTCGTCATGCGATTATGCATTATTTTCTATGACAAAACCGGGTCTGTTTTGTGAAATTTAAGGACAAAACCGGGTCGTACACATTGACAAAACCGGGTGCTTCAATTTTGACATGACCCACATCTTTCATTCCATGCACAGACATGCAAATATTGAGGCGATCATAGTGAAAAGTCTTGAAATCTCCGTGTTAATATCTTTCTTTCCGTACCTTTCTTTCCGTAAAATGTGCTCAATTTAAAGAGAAATTAAACAAATTCGAGGCAGGGTTCACTCAATTCACCATTTTGATGTGCATTTTTACTTATTTCTCCATAAATCTAGAACGGTGGTAGAAAATATTACATCACACTATCGAAAATAGTTATATGTGTATGTATATTCTTCAATATCATTAAAACAACATATAAATAAACAGAATTTCTACATTTCTCTGTCTGTTGATTGTCCGTCACCGTACCGGACATTAGATACTATTGAGTCCAAACATTTTTCGCCGGGGTAGTTTAGATACAGTGTAATTATCCATATTGTGCTGGTTCACATTAAATTACAATTGACGTAATATCTTATTTTTGTATCTGTCTTCATTTCGGTATCTTTAATAACTACATATTTGTTGTTTTACCGAGACGTAGCGAGTATATAGCAACTGATTATTGGGGTTGAAAAACAGAAATAAAGGAATATACTATTAGGCCTAAATGTAAAAATCGGATAGTAATTTTATTTACTGAATTTACACCAGATTAAAAAAATTATGACACGAAACAGTAAAGCTTCATCGAAAACGTTTCTTGAAACAGCTGTCCTAATATCAGAGGCATTACAACTAAAATTTTAAAGGCTGCAAAGGGAATATCAAAATAGTGTTGATTAATAACGGTCTGCATCAAAAACACATAATGACTATTTGTCATTCTGCTCCTTTACACAGATTTTAAATATCAAAAAGGTATCAAATGTTTCACTTTTTGTTTCATTTATTTCAATTGGGTACCTGTAACAAAGAGAACAACAACCCTAGTAGTAAGACACATACAGTTTTAACCAATACATATCTGAGTTATACCACTTTGTCCGACAAATTTTACTTTAAACGACTAAAACTGACGAAAAAAGGAAGATCTAACAATTTTTAAATGTTCGTCACCTCAATCCGCCTCAGCATCTTTACGTCATCGCAATCCGCCTCAACATATTACGTCATCTCAATCCGCCTCAACATATCTTTACGTAACCTCAATCCGCCTCAACATATTTTTACGTCATCTCAATCCGCCTCAACATATCTTTAAGTCACCTCAATCCGCCTCACCGTATCTTTACGTCACATCAATCCGCCTCAACATATCTTTACGTCATCTCGATCCGCCTCAACATATCTTTACGTCACCTCAATCCGCCTCAACATATCTTTACGTCATCGCGATCCGCCTCAACATATCTTTACGTCACCCCAATCCGCCTCAGTCCGCCTCAACATATCTTTACGTCATCTCAATCTGCCTCAACATATCTTTACGTCATCTCAATCTGCCTCAACTTATCTTACTTAACCTCAATCCGCCTCAACATATCTTTACGTCATCTCAATGCGCCTCAACATATCTTTACGTCACCTCAACCGCCTCATCATATCTTTACGTCAACCTCAGTCAGCCTCAACATATCTGTTCGTCACCTCAATCCGCCTCAACATATCTTTACGTTATCTCAATCCGCCTCAACATATCTTTAAGTCACACCAATCCGCCTCAACATATCTTTACGTCACCTCAATCC